CTGCTTTCCATCGTTCGCTTGCATAGTGGTTTCTTTCTGTTTTTCACGGGGTAATGATGCTTAAGCACAGTGGCTGAAATAATTGAGGACAAAAAAACAATTCCCTAACGAACTGAGACAAATAGGTCGTGATCAACACACGCCCATCAAATGATGCGCTCTGATGTGCACCGCACTGAATAATCTTCATCCATAACAAACCAAAAATAGTATTTCACGAGCTAGCCCTATCCTGGTGCGAGGATAGTGGCATCGATTTACTTCCAGGTGGCAGGCTGTCTGATCTGGAGTACGCAGACGACATTATGCTACTAAGTGAAGATCCAGGTAAGTTGCAAGCTTCTCTGGATAGTTTGAGTGGTAGTGTGTCCCTGTTCGGTATGCGTTTTGCACCTTCAAAGTGTAAAATGTTGCTACAAGACTGGGTTGGTCCAGCACCCAGGCTCACTCTTACTGGGGAAGCAATAGAGCAGGTGGATAAGTTTTGTTATTTGGGCAGCTACATCTCACCCGGTGGAGGCATCACAGATGAAGTATCAGCTCACATACAGAAGGCTCGGTTAATATTTGCTAACTTGAGACATCTGTGGCGCCGTCGCGACAGCCGGTTGCTTGTGAAGGGTCTAGTGTTCGGCCAGTCCTGCTATACGGTGCAGAAACTTGGCCACTAAGAAAACAGGATAAAGACAGACTGTCGGTGTTTGAACACCGCTGTTTACGCAGCACTGCACGAATCCGGCGGGGTAGCCGGATGAGCAATGCTGAGATTAGGCGCAGAGTTTTGGGTAAATACGATCGCCCACTGGAGCAAGTCGTCGACCTCCATAGATTACGTTGGCTGGGACATGTGTTACGCATGTCACCAGATAGGTTAACCACGGGGCGATTTTCGCCGAAGCAGATACCGAGTGGAAGAAAGCCAAGGGTGGTCAAGGTAAGACACGAGGGTATGAAAACTCTAACCAGGAAACTGGGTCACATAGGTCCTGTTAGGCTCCCTGGATGGGGACCACGGGATGGTCGTAACCGATGGTTAGAGACACTGAACGATATGGCTGGGTGTCGTAAACAGTGGCGTTCGTGCATCTCCTCAATTTCTTTGCAACCTTAGACCACTGAACTTCTTCATTTACTTTTTTGGCCCCACTTTCAACTTTCCTTTCTTTTCCAATTCTTCATCCAAATGGGCAGCCAAAAGACAGCAACCAAAACCGGCGCTCGAATATGCGTGGTTAATAGTTGTTCAAACTGAAACTGAAATTTCACGAGCTGTCATTGGCAATCACGCACGTGACCGACAAGTTTACACTGCGACCCGCTCAAGAAGTTGGTAACGAATTAGTAAGATGCGGCAACCTCCATGTTAGAGACGAACGAGTACGATACCATGAAGTGCAATCCAATACTGAGAGCCAGCCCGGTTAGCCCAAAGAGTTAGAGCATGTGTTCAAATTCAAATAGATTTGGTGGACCGGTGCTGATGATGATTCCTCGAAAATACATGAAAAAGCCGTGCAGCGCTTTCCGGGTTTTTCTTTCCCGGAGAGGCACGCTGATTCTCATTCGAATTCTGACGTTGACTGTTCAAACACGCGCTTGCTTTTACTGTCCGTGATTCGTCCGGGTTTTCTAGTTGAATCAAGTTAAGCCACTTCTTGATCGGCCCAATGAAATGTCCTCCGGGCATTAACCAAATGCACACTGCATCGCACTGGCCATGGTCGGCTCCAAGACACGTCCCTGATTATCATGACGAGAAAGGACGACCAGCTTATGCGGCACTGCACGAGCTTAATGAACGATGTTCAGATATAAAACTTACGTAGTTGCACTCATACACTAACTCATAGTTATTTGACATTGGTAAGGTTAGGGTGAGTTTTACATGTAAGCAGCTTAACTTCGACGGTGAACATTCTGTGCCGAACCAGGTGATGGTGGTTTAGTGAAGTTCACGAATTGTCAAACTACGACCTCACACGAAGGTATGAAAACTTGGCTGGATAGGGTCGTGCAAGTCAAGTCAGGCTTTCCGATCGGGGTTATCGAGGACAACCTAATCGATGGTTTTTATCATGATAGATCGTCGTAAACCGTGGTATTGATGTATCGTGCACCATTTGCATGTTTCTCAATGCTATGCTTTACCTCGCTAACAATTCGTTCGTTGGTTAAATGGTTCACCAAGGCAAGAGTGGGAAATCCAAGGTTCAATAATGAATTCCATCGATAACACACGGCAAAGGAAACACTGGATGGTTATTTCGATCATATTGGATCTCATCAGTATTGCGACTACATCCACTCAAGTGAGGACTGAATCCAAGAACCCACTAGAACACGGGCACTCTCCTCTGTCTGTGCAAGCCATGTCTGAAAGTTTGTTGCGGGCGTCTCATCTCACTCAGCTTAGCCCGAGTGGCCAGGGTTGGAAACACCGATAGCCGGACTGCTTGATACAGAACAGAGTTCGTGTTGAAACAGTACTTCCGCACTTCGTAGTCCAAATTTCTCTAGTCCCACTTGGAACCCAAATTCTTCATATGGATGGTAAAGGACTCAGGAACAAGGTGCACAGCCCCTATTGGAAGCGGAGATACAGCGGTAACTCAAATAATACCCAACGATTGAAGGTAAGCCAAACAATCATGAAGATTAGTGCTGCGAGACAGACAGAGAACTCTGAATGTGGTCGTGGAGGACAGTTTTCGTTCTCTCCTATAGAAATCAGTCACGTATCGATGGCATACCAGCAAACTTCACAATTACCGCGGACTAACTGACTTATCAAACCTGTTTTCGTGTGTAACACAGTCGTACACATTGCTTATAAGCCATTATTTTTTTTATCGTAATCCAGTGTAATAATAATTCATTCACAGAAAGTTGGAGGGACGGAAGGCGGAAAACCGAAGGGAAAAGTTGCACGGGAGTAGGGAAGGACAAGACGAGAAAACAGTCTTGTTCTCAATTATCTCATCAATTGGTGCTTATTTTTCGAGTTGTTCTTGTTCTGATAAAACAATGGCGCTCAAAGAGGAACAAGGAGTGTTGCTCAGGGTTGATCGGGCCAGAGCCAGATGGAGGACCGGGGATCAACAGATGTGAAAGTATAGAGAGGTCAAGGACAAGAACGATGAAAGCGACGAATGCACCAAGTGGACAGGGGGAGAATAGCATGACAGGAAATTCGGGAAAATAAGACCGCGTAGGAGAGATGAAGGTTAGGAAAACACGAGAATGAAATAAACCGACAGGTCAACAAACAGCGGAGATAAGAAAAGACCGAAGAAAGGGAACAGACACGTCACTACCAAAGTCACAAACATGAAACCCAAGGAAAGGGGAGCTGGGCCGGCATTATTTACACGGGGGAGGGGGCAAGACACTGGCGCTTAAGTATGCGTCACTGAGGTGAGAAAGATCGGTGACGGGGAAATATGTGATCTATTGAGGATGGTCAATATCGGTATGAATGATGTGGAATACGAAAGCCACACGACCTGAAGAATGATATGAAATGAAAAACCTGAAAACATATGTGTGGGGGATGAAAAGGTGAACTGAGCTCGTGTGGAAACGAGGGTGTGGGGGGGGGGCGAGGTTCGGGAACACAAACGGGTGCATACACAAAGGGAGACAGAAAAAGGAATATCAGTTGGAGCAAGGGATTATCATCATCTATTGATCTACATCTATGGGAACGGGAGTAATTGTGCATGAACACTCTCGAAACCGTGATGTCGAATGTCGATGATAAGACAGAAAACAAACTTTCGCATGTCAGAGGATAACAAGCATATGAGTGGACGATTTAAAGGAGACCCGGGATGAAACTAAAATTGATATCAGAAAAATAGCGACAAAACCACAGATGATTGAACTGGAACACTAGGTGTGAAAATTACACGGGACAAAGGGAAGGAACAGAATCGAGTGAGACTCACCAATCAGGTGGGAATCAGCAACGACACGGATCACACGGGGGCAGATTCACGCAATCATTGCGAGAAACCGGGTAAAATCTCGGGAGGTTTTGTCTGTGTGAAAATGATGCAAAGGGTTCGCACATACAAAAACCAAAAATGATCTCTCTCTCTGTGTGCGAGTGCACGCCGTTGTGAACGAAAATCCATACACCTGGTTGGGTGCAGAATACTAGTTTCCCTATTCTCTTATTAGCGTGCAGATACATCTGACGAAGGCGGGGTGGGACGAGAAACGTGGAACCTGAATAGAATGAACAGTCATTCAATGGGTATACGAACGAGGGGCTGGATCAGGTGTTGAATGAGGACGGAATCAAGATAATGAGGATGAATGGATAGCCAAAAATAGTGACAGTGGAGATGGAAACTAACAATCAGGGAAGGGAAGGGTAAAAATAAGAACAATATCGTGATCAGGAGAGGAGGGGGAGAACAAGCGGAATAGGTTGTTTGCTTCGCTCTCTACTCACGTGTCATACATGCCATGAGAAGTGACATTAATAACGAAATGCAGCGGCTAAGGGCGCCCTGAATTTGACAAACTGAGAAGTGGACAAAAGAAATCAAGTCCTTCGGATAAAAGACCACGGTGCACGGCAAGAAATTGTTAAGCACAACAGTTACAGAGACGCACAGCACAAGGGATTAGACCGACTGGTTTTTTTTTCTCGACAAGGCAACACATGAATACCATCACAAGTAGGAAACGATGGACGACGTAGCGTTTGACGGCGCAATGAAACGTGCACACACGCACACACAGAGTCAAAACACAGCGGCGTAAACTTTGGCACATGCACAGACTCTCTGTACTGTTCCCTCGCTGAGAAACTGGCATGTGTGGATGGATGTGCACGGAAAACAGACGGGCAACACAGAGAATGAGAGAGAAAGCTGACAACCTCGCGTGTCCGTCTGGGAAAGACTAAGGTAGAACGCGTGGATGACACACCCCCACTGTGTCCGGAGCCACGGAGCCTTGAATTCACAATCACAACATCTATAAACTATTCATACGGAGATTCGCGGATCAGACGATTCGGATTCCGCAACCATAGCAGCCGCCGCGGCCGCCAAGATCACAGCCGCTCCAGCCACTGAGTTCGATGCACGAGTTGATTTGGGTCGGCACTCGATTGACTCCCCTATACTATCTTCAGGCTGTTGCTGTCCGCTTAGAAAGTTAGGTTTAACATCAGGATTTGCCACTGCCATATTACGATATGCACGCTTGGCAGCATAATGAGGATGGTGATAATAGCCGCCGTCAGTTGAGGCTGTGGTTGTAGTGGATGACGAGGTGGATGAACATGAAGCGTATGGAGATATCAGTGTACTGGTCTTTGTTGGGCTGTGTTGTTGCTGGTAGGGATCTACTCGACGTGAATGTGGTGGTTGATGATTTATTGGTATATGACTTCGTGTCCGATACGGGTCATTCGTATCTACCGATCCGGAGTCATACACGGTTCCACCACTAGCGGGGGAAATACGCTCGGTGGCCAAATCCGCAGGGAGAGGTGTGTGGCTCGTCATACTTGGGCTCGGATTGCTCGGTTTCACATCCACATCCTCATGTAGATACGACCGTCCCGATTGGGTGGAATCACAGAGAGTCTGATAGCTCTGGGGGCCACCGTTACTATTACCAGCGCCGCCGCTACCGTTTCCAGGAATGGGAGTGATACGTGAACTGGCCAAAATTGACTGACGCCTGGTTCTGTGTGGACGTACTACGGAATTCAAATGAGTGGTTGATCCGTGCGAGTTGTCCAGCGAAACGGCCGAAGTGTTGGGTGACAGTTGATCTGACAAATGTCCAGGAACATCTGACATTCGATCGGAACTCTTTACGTTGGAAACAGTTGGTGCACCCGCGGCCGAGTATGTTCCTGGACCGGAGGTGACCGCAGCGAGGACTGCGGCAGCGCATGCAGCAGTGGAACTATTTAAACCAAGACCACACAACTCGTTAAAACACAATGCTTTAACTTTTTGGAGCTCTTCAATCAATTGCTGATTTTGACTTTCAAGTAGACTGACACGTGCTTCCAAACATTTCACATATTCCTTTTTCTTCCTTCGACATTCACGAGCCGCCTCACTGAAACGTGTAAACGGGAAACGGTCAGGGAACCTACATTTTCACGAGGCACTAAACCAAAAAAAAACAAAGAATAAGCTATAACTCGAAAATAATTTATAAATCCTTTATCAAAAGAGATACTCAGTTGGTGGACGAGATTAAAAACCATACAGCTTGGTGGCAGGCAGACAGGCAGCTTTGTTGTCCTCCGTTTCAATACCACGCCTAAACTAGCGGGGCCTTGTGCGGTTCGCCGCTCCAAGTCCCGCGGGGCTTTGGTAGCCGGTTCCCATCAATGAATAGCAGATCTACCCGACTATGAGATTCATCCCGTCTGCCGTTCATCACACAAAGCGTGTGTAATGAAACAGTTTGAAGTTTCAGTTTCAGTTTAGATCGTCATGAAGCTTGCTCAGTCATGCGACAGTTTTGGTTGCTAGTCCCGCGGCTACCCATTCGGTCGATCAAGGAGGAGGGAATAAATGGAGTTAAAAGCTGAGAGCACTACTGTTCCTCGCACTAAAAGTGAGTAGTAAAAAATAAAAAAGACGAAAATTCTAGAGGCAAGCAAACTAGATTTGGTATTGGAAATGAGTAGATGCATGAACACTACTGTTCACGACACTAAGGTATACCATCCAGTTGTCCTAACCATTCGTTAGGTCGATAACGAGGTCCCCAATCAAAAACCTAATGCAACCCATCTCAGGAATTTCCTTGGTCACTGTTTTCTTATTCGCGAATGCGATTTAGCCTTGTTTCGTTTGTAACTACCGCTCACTGAGGAACTTCATTCGGAGACATGCGTAACATGCCGCCGATCTATGGAAGTTAAGCACTTGCGCTAGTGTGATAGGAGTTACCTATGATTGTGTCTACCTCGGCATTGCTTGTCCGCTTGCCATTCCGGATTCGGGCAATGCGGTGTAGACAGCCACATTTCTCGAAGTGGCTTAACTATATTTTGAAACAACAGCGAAGTTACAGCTTTGTTCGAAGAGTTTCGAAAACGAAATAATCGCAGGATATTACTGTTCTGAGAACTGATATTCTCATCACATGAAGAAAGAAGAAGTCAATGATGCATTGTACAGAAACGCATACACCAAAGGAACGCAGTTACTCCGAGGTAGCTAGCGGGTTGAAGGAACTGAATGAATCGCTTGTTGGTACATATAGTTGAAACGGCGAAGACAAAGATATAAGAAGTTGAATCATCCGTAAAATTAACGCACGGGTGAAGATGAACGGGATTTTTTTGCGTGTTATTTGAGTCACGTTTTCCTAGGTGTGTATTAGAAAATTCCGATAACAAACACTTGTTTCCGGCAATGAACCACAGGAGAAGAGACAAAGTTTACAGACACGTCCAATAGATCTAACTGTATGAATTTGGTTCCTCTCAGGTTTTGTAATGAAGGGACTGACATATAATGATGACCTAGGCGTTCATGGTCAGTCAGGGATAAGTTGAGCTGTGATTTTTATCACACTGTCATGGGGTGAACACCTCGTCACAAGGGCCTACTATTCACTCATTATAAACGACAATCCTAGGGCCGAGTGACGAGCAATACAAGAACCAACTAGGATGTGTGTGGCATTGAGTTGGACAACGACAAAACCGATTACGTCAATGTTGGGTGACGAGAGCAGATTTTGAACTTCCGACCGAAGCACGCCAGCGACGACTTACAACACTGAACTAGCACTTCTTTCAAAAGTGAGCTCAAAGAAATAAGTGTTGGACCTGAAATGCGTTGTCCCTATGCATTGCCCCGTTCCACGTCAAGCCTTTGTGTACAATTTAAATCTTGAACAAGACGATCACACTGCGATTTAGTCACAACCACGGTCAACATAACAGATTTGCTAGCATATGCACGGTAATGGGCACTATTGCCCAAATAAACATGAAAGGTGATTTGCATGAATCGCGAATGGAATAAGCTTGTGCACCGATTAGATTCCTGACTCTGACCTACCCCGGTTTTCACCCACCGCCTAATAGGCTAATTCTTGGCTAGCTGAAAGCGTCGGTTGTGAATCCCTCGGGAAAACTCTATTGCTGTGATCTGGATAACCCAGTAGTATTCCTCTTTCCGACCAATTTGTTGTTGTTGTTGCACAGATAATTCTATCTTGACTTGTTTGGCACGGTTAGGACTCGGACAAGAGTGAAAGATAGTACAATGATTTGTATTAGCCAGTTTTCTTCGTATATGCCCAGACCAAAGGAGACGCGTACGCACTACTACTGCGATGTGATCGTAATTCACTATTTTCCTCGACCTGTCCATCAAACAAACGTGTGCACAACGCTTTGGATCAGATGATTGATTGAGCAAATTTCGGGTACCGGTTTTCAAACACGTCTTATTGTGTTCCCTGGCTTGAGATTCGAGATGGCGAAACCAATGAACAATCCGCTTCAAGGTCAGTAAACCACCGACGAATAATTTGAACAGAATACATTTCGCATTCCCCAATAGGTTAGCTCGAAATCAGTTGGCCTGTTGTGAATTACAAACGTCTCGAAAAGCCTTATATTGACATTATTATGTGAGGGAAAACTGAGAAGGGACAATTACAGAAGACTACACACGAAGCTGAGGAATCAAACAATTCGGTCTGACCGCACAGTTCGATGTAAAAAAAGGAAGCAGGAGCTTACAATGAAGGCAATGACTCACCGATTTTTGATCAAACGTTGTTCCCGTTTCCGATTGGGTTCATCTTGGTACATGTTCATGGAGGCCGCGTATTCAGATTTGATTTCGTGCTCGCGTAGGCAATTGTTTCGCAACTGGGTACCGTAATGAAATCCGGACTTACCATCCGAACCCGGTAAACTGTCTGGACCGGTCGGTCCCCGAACTCTTGTCCCATCGGGAAGGAGCACAGGGGAAATGTTCACAGTCGAATTGCCAGTATTGGATAGGGAAGAGCAACTAAGTGGCGAGCTTGACTGACACATGCCGGGTGTGGGTGTGGCATCGGTCACGTGGGAAACCGCGGGTACAGGAGATACACAAGGCTGGGAAAGTTGGACTGGATTACGACTGCACGCGGTGTTCGGATAAGATGAGTAGTGTGCAGTGTTTGTCTCGGATCGTGGTGAATCTCGATAGGCGGTATTCCCAGGAGCGGAAGAGCGTGAGAATGCGCGACTGTCCTGCCCTGGAAGTAAACCGATTCCAGACTGACCCGAATTCCGTGATGCATTCAGATTTGGATCGAACGTAGGTGAGAAATGACGCGCGTGTTTGGCACCATACATGTCCGAGGCTGCAGAAACAGCGGCTGTGTTCGAAGAAAATCGGTATGGATCGACTTCCGTTACAGATTCTTTGTGGGTGCGTTCGGAAAGAAAGGAAGACGAACGAAGCGGATTTGAAGACCCCATTGTTGTGATGGACGACTGTTCGTGTAGCGATGATCCAGATAGATCCGACGTAGCCGGTCGCTAAAATGCACGAAGGAAACTGCGATGATTGCTCATGAACTATGAACTCTTTTGTTTCATTGAACACGATATCCTTGTATATTTCTAATTTCCGCCTATTACAATTCCATTCCGCTTCTGAGTTGACTTCTGATTTCGTTTCGAGTCCTAGTTCTGGGTCGGACCACTAGTGCGCAGAATCCGATACGTATACGAAATACTAGTATGAGTACGAACCACAACAGAAACGCTTTTCGTTATGCTATAAATATATCTCTATTTCATACAAGTGCAAGTGAAACATACAGAGATGAGGTAAAAAGCTGGTGTACACCAGACACTTTCATCTCGTTTGTAACAAACACTCCCTAGTCCATGATTTAATATCCACTGTAACCAGTCACTTGATCAATGTGAAAAAATCCTATCCATCCATAACCTGGAGAAAAACTGATCGTCGTTTATCCACCATTACACAACAATTGACCTCTAGTTACGTGAGAGTAGTGGACGATTTGATTTACTTATACAACGGATTTCGTTGTGTATAGAGCAAATAAATCGTTGGCTGAAAAACTAAGCACTGGACAGTTGCTTCGACTTGTTTGGGTTTTATAAGCAGTAATACGAATCGACCCAACTGGGGATCGAACCCGGGACCGCAGAATACCTACTCGATCGTCGGGAAGCTGATCAGACCATTCCTCATTTCCCTTACACAAAATATAGCACAACCAAAGCTGCAGTTCCATTTTTCCTTTCGTAATGCCCTAACGTTACGTTGTACCGAAAGGAACAAGAGCTTACCACCTAGAATAAACAACCACATCCAGTCCGTCATAAGCACCAGTTCATTCCCGTCATTGGCGGGCATCCTATGATAGTGTGCAATTCATCGCTGTCTTCAAACTGCTGCTGGTGTACTTATTACAGAAAAGCAACTAAGTAATATATGTACATCCACATCCCACATGTAGCGCCATAACTGATGAGGGTCAAACCACGCAATTGTAATGGGGCCTATACTACTACTACTACTACTACTACTACTACATCACAGTGGGTGATTTCTAAGGTGCAGGTCAACAAGTCAGATCACTACACCTCCGAAGGCTAAAGCAAAATTCAGAGTAAAAATAATTCTACAAATCAGAAATGCTACCTAATTTGATCACGTGCAGAATCTACAGGCAAGACGACAATACCACGTATCCGTGACGTGTGCATACGACTAAGTCAGAGCGGTATGTCAATTAATCAAAACGTATTCTATTCTCACATCGATTCACGCTGCCAATTGTTACCCATCCGTATACCAATCAAAACACGTACGTGGGCTGAGCACAGACGATGACATTGGCATGCGTTTGCCCTCACATAAAACAACTTGACAACTTGGTAGAACATTCGAAATTGAAATCAAATGATGGAGAAACAGACATGCAGATCTTCGCAAGTCTATTAGCCTAGATCTTACCATACTCCCCATTTAATTGCTAAGACAACCGGGAGGGGAAAGACGAGACAGCATAAGCAACGACTATTACTAGTCACACATCTTAAAAAGTATTCCAGTGACTTTAGAAGAAAAAGAAGCACTACATAGAAATGAAGAAACCAGCTTAGTATCTATGATGAACATTGGCAAGCATAAAACTGAAAAGGCCTAATACGTAGTACGGGGAGCCAGGATGAAGAATTTCAGTGTATCGCAGTGACAATTCTCAATCTTCCCGATTTTGAAGTGGTGCAAAATTAACCTGATGCTGGTAAGCACGTCAAACAATTATTACGGGGGTGAATAGGTCAGAAAATGAGCGTGGACTCGGTGAGGATCTAAGGAGATCGAGGTCATCACATCTCTCAACCAAGTTTGAACTGATGACAGATGAGTCATTTCGTACTTGAGGACAATTGCACTTTATGAGCAACCAGATAGGTAGAGGGTGGATGAGGAAAGTGGAATTTATTCAAACTCTCTGACGTGCTGCTTGTTACCTGTCAAATCAGACCTTGTGTGTAGTTCAGCCTCTGAAAGACTCAGTATAATCAACGGTGGGTGCCTTGGTTGTTGACTGATCACCCTTACATTGCACCTCGCGAAATGCTCCTATAAAACCAAGCATTTCAAATAACTTCAGTTGAGAAAGCCCTGCTTACGGCCTTCTCGTGTCGGAGTTATTTCCTTACCAAAGTGAGGGGACGAAAAGCCAACATCCGGAGCTATAAATGGATAGGGAAACCACTGGCACGGGAGTTGGCTAAAAATCTGATTTCAAACCAATCAGAAGGCGTACAAACCATACAGACATACACACACGAACACTTTCCTGGTGGTAGTGGTCACCTGTTTGATTAAGAACCGAGGTGTATTGAACACCTTGGACGTTTGACCCCGTCCAAAAGGCACATGATCTGTTGAACTGGACATTGGAAGCCAATGGATTACGGTTTGCACATACCTTTCTTACAGATACTTTGGTTACCCGAGGGCTCCGGTTGTGAATTCCCCAAGAAAATTCACCTTGGCCGTGGCCCGTGCAACCTGGCAGTATTGCACCCACAAGAAAATCACGAAACTTTCTTTG